TTATTGCTCGGAAATTTGTCTCTGAATATTTCGCTGATGCAGCTCGAATGGTACTGTTTTAACTGACTGCAGTCAGAAAATTGTAGCCTTAGTCGAAGTCTTCTCATTGTCAGAGTCATAGTATAAACATCTTAAGTGTGTTCATCTAAACAGTTCGTTCGAGGAACGAACTTACTGCGATGCAGGGATTCCATAGCGGATGCAAACGCATACGCGTAAAATGACATGCCACGCTCAACTTCAAATAGTGATAATTTCAACAGTGGCACGAGGGGGGAAACAGTTTTTATATGATTATAAAGAAGAAGATCTACTGAAAACATTCCAATTTGTTACATACTGGGACTCCTTGGGACTTGAAAGATCTGACCTGCTAATTGTAACGATTCTTAAGAATTTTCTTCGTTTCATTTAACGCTATGTCCTAAAGGCACTATGTACAGTAACTATTAACGGAGGGCATATTTCTAATGTAGAAAGAATGCTCTTTATTAAGAAAAAAAAATGAAGGCAAAATATTAAAATAGACCCTGAGAAAATCTTCAACAAAAAGACCCGATTTTTCGGGCGGACAATTGTACTTTTAAAATATCCAACTTTGAATGCTCATATCATTCAAAAGTGGTACTATATTTTCTTAATTTTTTCATTTTCGACATCAGTGGACATTTAGGAATCAATGTGTACCAGGTAGGTATTCATATTAGAAAGTTGATTTTTTCATGAAATGTCACTGAATTTCTCGATTTGGACCACTGTGGACCGGTTTGGTTTTCGACATTACTCTTGCAATTTTGAAACGCGTGTAATATGTCGGATCGATTCTGGGTAAGTTGCCCAATACACTCCGCCAATAACTGACACTTACAACTTTGTAATTAATTAATAAAGAATCTATAAACAATTCCTGTTTCTCATTGTGTGTATAATGAAGTGTGTATTATGCAGCGCCATCTCTGATTTATGAGGATCATTATGCGTGAACTTATCCAGATTGTGCAATTGTTGTTAATTGTTTTTCATAAGTCGGCACGTAATTTTTATTAGCGGCTCGATTCCTCTATCATTTAAGGTTAGAAACACGTCATGATAATTTGGTTTGTATTTATTTTATTAAATTATTTTGAGAGCAACCTTATATTTCCCTGTTCTAATTAAAGATTATAGTGTTGTTTTTTCTTTGAAGACTTTAAACAAACCGTCTAATTTGAGTTTTTTCTTTGAAGGATTTAAATAAGCCGTCTAATTTGATGGGTGTCAGGGGTGTTTCTGGGATACAAACATAACCTTTTTTTTACTGGGTGGCATCAGATATTGGTATATTTGAATAAATTTCGATTTTTAATTTTCAATACAGAAAAAAGCAAGGAAATCTATGAGATATGCGGCAGAAGACTTGAAAAAGGGTTTAGACGCTATAGATGGAGGCATGCGAGTATTAAAAGCGAGCAAAATTTTCAAAATTCCAAGAACAACCCTTATTTATAAACATAAAGGATTATACCCTAAAGAATGCAGAAAAGGACCGCCAACAAATTTAACACCTGATGAAGAAAAATCTTTAGTAAAATGGTTAAGTCATATTGGTGACTATGGCTTTCCTGCAACAAAGAATCAACTTTTAGTCTCTGTAGAAATGTTGATGAAAAATTTAAACAGACTTAACAATTTTAGTAATCATCGGCCTCGAAATAAATGGTATTCTTGTTTTATGTATCGTCATCCGGAATTATCAGTACGAATGTCACAGAATTTGACAAAGGCGCGATCGAATATAATAGAGCAAAAAATACGCAACTGGTTCAACGAAATAGAAAATTTCCTAGAAAATAATCATTTTTACCATATATTAAATGACAGTCAACACTTTTCAATGCAGACGAAACTGCTGTTTTTTAACCCAAAAGTAAAGAAAGTTATACCTAGAAGAGGAGAATTCACAGTATATAACTTTATTAACAACGACGTAAAGGAGTGCCTAACGATACTTATAACTGCCAGTGCAGCTGGTCAGCTTGCACCACCAATGGTCATCTTTTCCTATGTAAGAATCCCCTCACACATAATAAGTTTGATACCTAATAAGTGGGGCGTGGGAAAAAGTTCTAGCGGCTGGATGACTGGACAAAGTTTTTATGAATATATTACAAATGTGTTCTATAAATGGCTATTGAAGAAAGATATTCCTTTGCCAGTCATTTTATTTGTGGACGGTCATGTTAGTCACCTTACTTTATCACTAAGTGAGTTTTGTATAGAGAAAAGAATAATAATTATTGCCCTTTACCTGAATGCAACACACATCTTACAACCAATGGATGTATCAGTGTTTCATCCATTGAAAAATGGTTGGAAATATTCTATGCAGAAATGGAAATTTGAGCACAATGGGCAAGCAATTGGAAGAGAAAGCTTTGCTCCATTATTATAAGAAGTACTTTTAAAATATGTCAAGCCAGAAACTACTGTAAACGGTTTTAGAGCTTGTGGTATTGTTCCGCTTGTTTCAAATATTGACTTTAAAAAATTGTTTAAATCTAACAAAGAAATTAATTCAGATCTCCCTTCATCCAAAGAAACGTCAAAAAAATATTTAACGCAATTGAAGCAACAATTGATTTTTTTAGAATCCAAAATTGCACCGCAGACTTTGATTGAGTTTAAATCATATGGAGCTGTTTGGCCAGGTAGAATGGAAGACACTTTTTTGTTTGAAGTTTGGAGTAACATATATTCCGAAGTTAATTTATTAAAACTAACAAGAACACATTCCGAAAATCAAGATAGTAATAGCAGTACATCGAACAATGAATTTGATATTATGTACATTAGAAAATACATTAAACAATAGCTTTGAAAATAGTAATAATGAGAGACATTATTTTCATGTCAGGGAAGATGAAATAAGGGCCATAATACAACACCTACACCCACATCATCATCAGAACTATAAGAAGTACAGTCTGCAACAATAAATCAAACTAATGTACCAAACGATGTGCCAAGCCCTTTTAAAAATTGTTTATTTTGGCCGGTACCATCTAACGAACAGAAAAAAAAGAGATCGAAGGAAAAAATTCCGCTGGTTGTGACATCGGAAGAATGAAAGGATTATTATTATAAAAAAATGCCGAAAAAGAAAGAAAAGAAAAGGAAAAAGAAGAAAGAAAAAGAAAAAGAGAAATAAAGGCAGCAGAAAAACCAAATTAGAAAAAGAAAATAACTGCAAAGAAATACAAACGACTTGTTATAGAAAGTGATACTTTTACATCATCTGAGGAACTTTAAGTTCAAATTTAAATGTATTTTGAATAAATTAACGTTATATTCTGTTATTTTATTGTTTACATTTATAAAAGTGTCAGCTATCGGAGGATCTAGATGTCAGATATTGGATACACTACATTTCGGCCATGTCAGTTATTGGTGTCATTACCATTTCTTAACATTAACAAAACTTAAATAGTTTTTGGTTACGTTAATTTAAAGATAAAGGATCAATAAATCTTGATAAAATATTAGCAACTGCTTTTATGGATTTGAAATATTTTTTTATTTAAATTGTTTGAATTCTTTCTCTTCAACTGTCAGCTATTGGGCAACTTACCTTAGTACCAAGAGTAAAAAGATTGATGTATATGCATTTATATATACCAATTAAATTACATTATTCATTTCATGAGAAATAAAAACTATCAGAATATTTTTGCAATCGCATCATGTTTTGATACATAGCAATTCTGTCGTATTATGAAAAGTATATTGAAATTATATTGAATACACTGAAATTATATCAATATGCATTTTTGCCACATCTAATGGCTGACAGTGATTAATAATGTGAGGTTAATTTTTATCTATAATTTTTTTGATAATCTATAGTTTTTGTCTTAAATATTTTGAAACTTAACTTATTCGAATTATGGCAGTCTTCGATCGTTACAATCTACAAGCGGTTCACTTTTATGGCATGTGATGGTAATAAAACTAGCTGCACGTTCAACTGTAACTTTTTTCCCAATTACTTTATTGCTGCAGTAACGGCGATGACCTACCTACGAGTATTTTATTTTAACAAACTACAATAGCATTAATAACACAATACATACATATATGTAGGTATATGTTAATATTAACATAATTGTAAAAAAATAAGATGAATTGTGAAAAATTAGGAATTGGAGCGTATTCCACTTATCTTATTCTACTCCATATTCCATTCATGCAATTTTACTAATATCAAAAAGAGAAAGCATTGTAGTGATTGTGTGTGCGTGTGTGTGTGAGAGAGAGAGAGAGAGAGGGAAGGAGAGAGATTTGAAGAGGACAAATGGGTAATTAGATAGTTTGTAACGGAGCGAATGATAGGCTGGACGAGAAAAGAATGAGAGGGAATGAGTGAGAGAGCGAGAGGAGAGTGCGTGAACCGTTGGCGATGAAAGGCGAGGTGCGAGTCAGATGAAGGTGATGAGTGGGCTTAACGAGAGGGACCGGTGTAATTCAGAAAACTGTAATACAATTATAATAAAATATAAAGAACTATAGCACCATATTATGTTCTGTCCTTGCCTAAAATATAACATCGCTGCTCGACCGATCACTTTACAATAGTTTACCATTATACCGACCCCTCTGTTTTTTCTACGCGGTCTCCGTTGTCGTAGTCGGGAACAATGACGAGCCGAATAGCAGTATCTTATTCATAACAAATTTTTGCCAGATATATGCCCCACGTTGGACGCACATGGTCACGATACAGCGACCATCACAATAACGAGGTCTGACGATGAGATGGTAGGCTCGCCATAAATTCGGGATACTTCAGTTTTCCCTTCAAAACAGGTAACCTTCCTGGACGCGGAAACTTATTATTTTCGAAACGTGCTTGACATTGTTCGTAGTTCTGATTTCTTTTGGAAATACATTCCAATTTAGTCGCTGACCCTTACAAGTATTTTACTAAATGGAATAACGATCGTGACACGAAAACCCGGTGAATCTTTTGGATGGTCAGTTTTATACGCGTAGGCTATAAACTCGCCCAGGTGTGCACTTCAGACTTTTTACGAGCACTTGAAGACTTGTTACTTTTTATTTTACAGTTTTCAGAGAGCATAAATGTCCTTTTGTACTTCGAAAAGAAACTCTTGAACATAAAAAGCAATATTTGTGTGTTATTCCTCTACCCATTTCCAACAGTTGTATGTATATTGCTTTGTTTGCCGTTTCCTTTTTCTAAACTATATTGTGCTTCGTCAAGTAATTATAGGAAGCCAAAAATATATTCCATAATTGAAGTAACTCTGAAATTTGTATGTCGCATATGTTTGACAAAATACAAGAATGTAATGAAATTTACATACGTGGTAGCTTTTCGAAAATTATTTCACACGTATTTTTTTATATCTGCTGACATGCATGTAGAGGGGGTGAAAATAGCCCTCAAAGTTGGAGATGGAAAATACATATTCTTTAATATCTCGGAAACTGGAGGAGGGTGAATTTTTGTTTAAAATGTGTATTTTTGAGTCAGGAGTTTAGTTTATTACGAAAATTTCTGGAGAAATTATTTATTTCAATAATATATTAAAAAATTGAATTCTTTTCTAAATTTTTTACCCCAAATGCCGTTCAATTTTTGTGTAGATTTGTACACGTAAAATATGGATCGAAATGGGGGATTCGTGATTCTGGAATTTTTTGTTTATTGCAATTTAGCAACAATTATTACATACATAATTTTTGTCTACTTTTTACGGAGAAAAGTGTTCAGGTTTGTTTTCGTACAATGTAAGCCCTTTTCATATCATCATTTGCCACGTTTTCAACAATTGGACAATTTGACATGTTTATTGTCGGTAGCCAGAGAAGGTCCAGCGGGCAGGTATTGTATAAATCCTCTGCGGTACCAGCCGTCGTTGTACGAAACGTAGGTTTTTATAGGCAATGGAAATTTTAGACGAAGGTATAAGTTTAGCTATTTAACTTTTAATATTTTGAACCAAAATGTTTCTCATTTAAATGACTTGATAATTCTGAAAGCTGCTAATTTTGTTATAGTATTCAGGGTAATGCAGAAATCGAAATATAAAAATATTGCGGACTCCTAAAGATAGTACCGGATTTATACAGCCATTAGATGTGTTCGGTTTTAGAATATGGAAGAATTGTCCAGTGGACAATACAAAGTCCATCGAGATTCGAATCTGCGATAAAGGAGCATGTACGTATTACGAGTCAGGACTCCTCATCTTTTGTTTTAAAACCATTTTTATTCAAAACATCATATAAAAGTGGAATTTATTTTTCCTTATATTGGCATATGGTTTCGTGTCAATTGTATCGACACGAAATAAACCCTGTTGCATCGTACAACTTTTCACACTGACATAATATTTGTAATTCTTCCATATTCTAAAACCGAACACATCTAATGGCTGTATAAATCCGGTACTATCTTTAGGAGTCCGCAATATTTTTATATTTCGATTTCTGCATTACCCTGAATACTATAACAAAATTAGCAGCTTTCAGAAATTTTCATAATAAACTAAACTTCTTACTCAAAAATACACATTTTAAAAAAAATTCACCCTCCTACACCCTCCAGTTTCCGAGATATTAAAGAAAATGTGTTTTTAGTCTCCAACTTTGAGGGCTATTTTCACCCCCTCAACATGCATGTCAGCAGATATAAAAAAATACGTATGAAATAATTTTCGAAAAGCTACCACGTATGTAAATTTCATTACATTCTTGTATTTTGTCAAACATACGCGACATACAAATTTCAGAGTTACTTCAATTATGGAATATATGTTTTAACCGACTTCGAAAAAGGAGGAGGTTACTCAATTCGATCAGTATTTTTTTTTTTTTTTT